CTATAGTTGATCTGTATTTACTTTGCTATAAATATCGTAATCTTATACCATACAGGGTGCTGAAAATAAATCAATGTATATGGTTAAGCCTTTATAAATATGTATAAAAACGTTCTTTTCATCTTAGCATTGAAGAAAAGAACGTTTTACCCAAACCAAACACAAAATTTTATTTAGTTTAATGAGGTTATTAAATTTGGAATTTCATTACACATTTACTAGTCCAAATTTTTAGACGTGTAGGTATTTATTTATATTGTTTAATTTTAAAAACATCAGAATGTCTTCATAAGCAAATAAAACAAAATTTCACCAGCTTGGTAGTTCCTTTTTATCAGATCCTCGTAATTCTCATAAAAAGTACGTACCAAAACGTGCTTTTGTCATTGATTGCTTGACTTATACGACTGTTTACGCTTACGTTATCACAGTAGTACTCATCGGTGACACGCAGAACAATGAAACGTAAAAGAAAACGGAAAAAGACGTAAACCAGAGGCAAAAGACGTCGACGGTCAGTTGTGGCGGGAACGCGTTCAGTAGTGAGCGAAATATAGCAAGGGTACTACCGCTGCTGGGTACTGCTCGGACAGTGATAGTGGTGGTGAAGAGCGTGTGATCGAAGAGATGAGGTGATTATCAAGAGTATAAACGGATTATTTCTTGCTTCTATCGTAAGTTTTTCGTCGAATATTGGTTGATGACTGATATATATTTTTTTAATACTCTATAATTATATAATATTTGAGATACATATATGCCGGCACAATGCCGGCAACAAAGTATACTTTCTTAATCTCTAATATTACCATAGTTACGGCTTTACTCCATGGTTACGGCACTAAAAGGGATGCAAATACAGACTTATCTGAAAAATGGTAAAGAGAAAATATGTTTCTTTTATCGAGATATACCAGCCCCCAAAAATATTTGCACTTATTTAAGACTCACCCTGTATATATATATAGGTAGTATACGACAAATTAAATCATATACAAATCTGGAATCTTACTTTATCTAAATCAAACATTCGGTCAATGTGTACTACCAGTCATGATTGGTGTGAAACGATTTACTGTTTTCATCGGTTTTATTAAAATAATTTTTATTTTTTTTTTATTTTTAATTTGTTCCTGGGAGGGGTAATCTATTACCATATTTATGTTATGAAATAAGAACCATTTTTTATTATTTTACCTTTTTCTACTAAAATTCGAATATTTATATTAAATAAAATAATTAATTAAACATTCTAGTATAAATGGTGATAATTTTTCAATTAGTTTATTCCGGTTCTGGACAGCATCCGGATAGTTTTTCTATGACCAGCATGCCTGCATGTTAATTAATTATTTTTATATACCTTAGTATATTACAAAGTTATTGCAAATATCTTATTCCTATTAAAGAAACAGAAGAAGGAAGTAGTACATTTTTTGTAATTATATATAAGAAATAAGAAACCAGTTTTTATCTAAATTATTTTTCTTATATGTCAACATATAATATATATCAACCTTTTTGCACACTTCTTGTATACTATTATATTTATAAATGATTTCCTTATTAATGACATTTACAAAAAATTACTTCGATTCATTTTAATACGTTATATGACCTTATATGGATATTAAAAAGACATAGAAATATTAAAGTTGGCGTCAAGTTGGTTTAGAAACGATGATCGATGCCATTCGCCATATAATTTGACATAGAAAGTGTCAACGCCATCTTCGCTTCCAAGCCAACACTAACGCCGTTTTTTTATCGTAAGGCATTTTAAATTTTAAGACAATATGTATATGTACGGGGTGTCAAAAAAATAGTGTTTTACTCCGTATATTTAATAGTTTCAAATAACATATTTTAGTTGTTTTATTTATAACATTCTCTTGTTCAATTTGTACGAAATAATGACATAGAATATTTTTTTAATTAATATAGAAAAATATCGCAATCTAGGACAAGTGACACATTGCACACGCTAAAACAGTCGCAAGGCCATATGGTATATTAATACAATTTGAATTTTAGGGCAAAAGATTTATGGAATGTTACTAATTTCAGTCATTTTGAATCGATCAAGCCAGTTAAATCCAGACTATTTTATTTTTTACGGCATAGTACGTTCACAAAAATTACGCAATTTGATTTGCTAATTAATCTGAGGTTTTTTGAGATTGATGTTTTGCTTTGACACGCTCTATTAACATGGATTTATTAAAGGTGATATGTAATTCGAGATATATAACGGATTTGTAATGTATAAACATTTATATCTGCTTGATTTCCGCAAAAGTTATCTTGGATATAATTGATACAACCTTCTTATGCGTAAGTGAGAGGGATTTATTATAAAAAAAGTATAAAGGGAATATAAAAACTTTCTTAGATAATTTATACAGTCCTCTTGTACAGTGGCGTCACGTATTTCAATATTTTAGAGGAGCACAACCTTAGAAAAAAATTGAAAAAAGCGTCCACGCCCAAAAAACACTATTTTGGAGCAAAATAAAACACTAATTCACCACAATACACCAAAACACTTTAGTTACTAACGCTGTACGACGGGCGTTTCGCTAACCAAGTTAGCCATCATCAACAGATAATAAATAACATTTAAAAGAAATGTCGAATTTCTAAAATTGTCACCTCGATTTTTGCTATTTTTATTTTAGTAAGTATCAAAAATAACAATGTTTTTGTATAACGCTATATCTACACCTAATTCCAAGAGTTTTCGAAATATTTGATTGCAGACATTTAAGTAATTTAACAGACTATAACTAGCCATGATACAGGGTGTCAAAAAATTACATTTATAGAATTTTTGACACGCTCAATATTATACAGGATGGCTCCAAGGAGAACGTTAGTTAATATCGAAATTAAATATTGGGAGCATATGTAGGTTAATTGAAGGCATTTTATAAAGATATACAGGGTGCTACAAATTCGGGGTACGAGCAGTGGTATCTTGGTAATAGATCCGGAGATGGTTAAATTGTGGCAAAGTTGCGCCTTGGGATGTCCACCAAGATGCCATCAAAACAGTTTTAAAAAATTGAGAAACTGAGTTTTTTGTTACGGATTTTTTGAAAATCAGTTTTATTTTTTCCTGTCGTTAAATCAAAAAACTAATTGCACTCTTTCTCATAACCACTTTATTAGAGCTATTTGATAGTATTTTCAAATTAGCTGAAAATTTGTGGAGGCTAACTAATTTTTTTTAAATACGGACCTGCATTTTTTATCTTAGGTCTTGAAAGAACTCCGTCTCTCGTGTACAATGATATGCCAAACTTAATATTTTATGTAGGTGACAATGCGCAATTAATTTTTTGATTTTCTAAAAAGTAACTACAGGAAAAAATAAAATTGACTTTCAAAAAAATCCGTTTTCTCCAAAAAAACTCAGCAATCCGTGAAATTTAAAAAAATTTAAAGAGTTTTTGATGGCATCTTGGTGAACATCCCAAGGCGCAACTTTGTCCCAATTTAACCAGTCCTCGAATCCTGAATTTGTAGCACCCTCTATAGTGTGTATAGAGTTCTACAGGGTGACCAAAAAAGTTACGAATCAAAGTTGGGTTTTTTGTAATGAAACACCCCATATATTAATTGATTTTCAAATTTTAGGAAAAAAATAAAGGTGAGCTTCATTAAAGGAGCATATGCCCAAAATGTATTTTTTAACATATTTCACATTTTATGAAAATGAATAATACATTTTAAATTTCAATCACATCTACCTAATTGCTGTTATTGAAATATAATAATATTATTTTTGTCTCACCTTGTAAAGCTCTTTTTTTTAATTTTTAAATGGTACCATCGGTACTTTTTTACTTTATTCCATACAAAATAACACTCTGAATAGAATGACATATCATATGTCAACTTCTCACATTTTTGCATATATGGTTTATTTGAAATTACAACTTGCGGTTCGTAACGAAAATTTGCCTCGAAATACCAAGTGTGTGGTACCTAATTATTTATAAAAAAATGCTTTTTCCAAATATGCTAATGAGCCACCCTCGTTCCATTTGAAAAAATGGCGCCGGGAGGCACGTATAGCCGCCCATACTAAAATATGTTAATATCTCGAAAACTGCGACTTTGACTGATTTTGATGTTATTACAAATTTTGTTGCAAATATTATTCCTAATCTTAATTTGAAAACCGCGTTTCGCTAGCTACTGTAATTTTGGAGTTACGATTTTTTTAAATTTTTAACCCCCTCCTATACCAACTCACCAACCCCCCACCCCTTCACAAACTAATGGCCAGCTTCTCGGGTGCCACAGTATTTTTGTGAAATTAAAAAAACTTTTTTTTTCCGATCCTAATAGCCTACCATACCTGTTGGTATGGTCGGCTAAAAATTTAGATATGATTAAAAATATGATTTGGGCATTTTCTAACTGGCCAGGACAAGAAACTAAAAACATTAGACAATCAAATCTATTTTTCCAAGGCTCCTTGATTAAGAATTAGCGTTTTTAACATAACCATGGCACTCTAGATTGAATTTTAAAATTCAATTTTGTTTTTAGCGAGAATGTCAAAAATTGACATATGATATGTCATTCTACTCAGAAAGTCATTTTCTATCGAATAAAGTAAAAAAATACCGAGGGTGCCATTTAAAAATCAAAAGTTGTAGTCATTTCCGGTGAAACAGGAAGTGACCAAAAACAATTGAATATGTCAATCCCCAATCCTAATTTAAAAACCACAACAATAAACCGTAACATACCACAAATATAACAAATATATACCACAAATACCACAAATATAACAAAACCGTAACATACCAAATCTCGTTTTTTTATCTATAAAAGTAAAAAAGTTATAGGAATGAGCCACTTTTGAGACGCACCCGGTATAGGGTGCTCCATTACTTTAACTTTGATGTGATTTTTTTTGGAGACACCCTGTAGAACTCTCTATATTTAAAAAAATGCCGTTCTCCTTGGAACCTCCACGTCGCACACTGTTGCGCTCAATGGACATAATTCAAAAATGCATGTATTTATTTTTGGGTTTGTAAATACACCTATCTTTAGAGGAATGTCTGCTGATAATAAAAATAGAATGTTCTTTTTTTATTGTTTACGAATTCCAAAGAAACAGAGATAAAGAAAACGAAAAATAATTTTGTGCGTTAATTGAAAGATTAGTGTAAAATTTATTCTATAAGAGGCACTTTGTCATTTTAAGTTTTTTATTATTTTTTAACATTAAGGAGACTATGGATATTAATTTAGAAGGTAAGCAGTCAGTTACGTTATTTGCCTTTAGTATTTATTTAATTAAAAAAAAGAAAAAAACATTCAACTTTGACTTAGAATTACAAAAAAATATATCAATATAGTCCGAAGAAATTTTGAAAATAAAATCTTTAAACAATTTAGTTTAAAATGATAATAATCATTTTTTGCGGAGATTTGCGGAATTTGCTATTTTTCTATTTTTAGAACAATCCTCTGCTATTCCCAACAGCATGTTATACGAAAAATGGGTAACTTGTAAAAAAAAATAACTTGTAATAAAAATATAATATAATATATAATATATATATATATATATATATATATATATATATATATAATATATATATATATATATATATATATATATATATATATATATATATATATATATATATATATATATATATATATATATAGTAATATAAAATATAACTTGTAAAATAATAACTCAGTTTATAATCATCTGCCGATGATGCTAACATGGTTAGCGAAACGCGCGTCCAGTGTAAAAGTAAAAGTGTTTTGGTGTATTGTGGTGATTTAGTGTTTTTATTTTGCTGTGTAACACCAAAGGTTCCAACCCTCAACTGTAATATTGTAGAATTAAAATAATATACATCATGTTTTGCGCATTTTTGCGATTTTTGTTAATTTTCTATTTTTAAAGAAATCCTCTGCTATTTTCAATTTAGGATTTTATACCAAAAATGCCAAATATTTATTTTTAAATTTATAATATATTTTTTAAGTTTCTAGCACATTTTCAAAAATACGTCAAATGTATTAAAACCATAGCAAATTCTTTAACCCTCTAAGTGGGGGGGTATCATCCCCAATTTATTTCCAATGGAAATAGGGGTCAAGTAATATTTTATTAAGAGGACTTTAATTTATCTATATAATGCTGGTTATTTTTTGAAAATTAATCAACCCCTTAGGAAAATAGTGGGGTTTGAAATTGGGGGATGATACCCCCACTTGAATGTTGAAGATTTCTCTATGGATTTTACCCTAAAATAACGTATTTTTAAAATTTGTTTAAAAAACCTTCCAAATTTCTTGATATAATTTATTTTGCATTTTTTTCCTTATTATTGATATTTCAAACCTCCATATTTTCAATAGGGGCTTATCGATTTTGGAGAACTATATACCAATATTTAGGTAAATAAAAGACCTTTTCAATAAGGTATGAATTGGCCCCTCTTTCCATGTGAAAAATTTTGGGGGATGACACCCTCGCATAGGGGATGACAATTTTGCAATCATTTTTGGAGCAAAAGTTGGCTCTCTTATAAACAAAATAAATAAAAATAGTCGCAATAATTAATATTAGTTTGTTTTCAAAATTTTGACCCAATTCCCCTATAAGGTGCAACACTGTGCGTCGTATGAGAGGCTGTATATTTTTTAGAAAAAAATATTTACGAAATTATAAATATCTGTAATTTGGAACACCTGGTATATAAAATTTTCGTTCGTTAATTTATTAAAGCCGTTCCAGGTGTAATTATCGACAACCGAGGAAAGAGTGTGTGCAAGAAGCGTAAACAAGTAACACAGTTAAGTAGTGTAATAAAATACGTAGTTTGAACATTATACAGCAATTAGCTTGGTCCGAGGTGCGTAAAAAATAAGGATACAATAATTGGGTGAAGAAATTTCTTGGTCAAGTGTTCTTTGTTGGAAAAAATACAAAGATACATTTTTGCGACTTGAATATTTATACAGATCGAGTGTAATTAAGTAACAATGTATCATGTAATGTCAGCATTTATTTATTGCTTCGAATATGTTGCAGGTTTTCTTTGTGTATGTTCCATTATTGCATTTTTAGCAATACTAACAAGTAAACCAATTATTAAAAAGCAATATGCATTATACAGAGCGAGAATTACGGGAATGGCAGACAATGACGATCAGATTTTTTTCTTATAAGAAAATTATCTTGAGATCTTAACAAAACAAGATGGAGATAAAAAATGTGTTGATTTATGATATAAAATACAGAGTATAGCATACATTAGTTGCAACACTGGACGCGCGTTTCATATTTTGCAGATAGAAACATAGGCGCCTGTCAACATATGTATATCAAATGTCAAAATTAACTCTCATCTTTAGTTAACTTAACGCCAAAGTTTTAGACCGTTTCGATTAAGGCTATACTCGGCTGTACCTATAGACTGAATTCTTGAAGTTGACGAGTCAATGAAATCGAAAAACAAAACTTCTACACCCTGTATCTCCGAAACTAAGCGTTTTAGGACATATACAGGGTGGTCCGAATTATGTTCCGGAAACTTTTGGTACAAAAACATTTCAAATTTATGATCTCAGTCTAATAACTATTTAGTCAACATGTTTAATTTATGTCAGTGATGACAGGTATTGATAATTCCGATTCCAAATATTTCGAAAACCATTACTCGTAGCGATTTTTACCAAGAGACCTTTTTTACTTAAAAAGCGTCGTAAATGTATATTTTTTTACTCGGTAGTTTTACACAGATACGGACGAAAAGTTATTACTCTTCAAACCAGTAAAAAAATATGTAGGTGGCGCCCGCGTAGGAGTCATATTGACATCAAAATCAAATTTCTCATGTCAAAAAACTCCCAGACACCAATTTTCATCCAGATATTGAGAAAATCGAAATAAAAATGAAACTTCTACACCCTGTATCTCCGAAACTAAAAGCATGTTAGGACATACATTTATACGAACTTTTTCACCTATTTTTATCCGCAGAATATGCTGCCGAAGTTTGCGGAATACAATTCGGACCACCCTGTATATTCGTTGGCCGCAAATAATTGTTTCGAAAAACCAACCCTCAACGACGAATGATCCTCCAACAAGACAATGCAACTTCCCCCACAGGTCGAAAAACAATAGAGTTTTTAAAGTAAGAAAATATTGATTTGTTGGACTATCCTCCATAGAGCCCCGACCTAAGTCCTGAAGACTTTTTTACTTTTTCAAAAACTAAGAATCAACTGCGTGGTCAAAGGTTCCAATACGCAGAAGATGCAGTTGCATAAAAAGCGCAATTTTGGTATCAACAAGCCAGTGGGTGCCAGTGGAATAACTGCTTTTAGAATGATTTCAGTTTAAAGGATGCAAACATGCATTGCTTTTCGTAGAGAATACATACTTCGAAAAAACGTTAAAAGTAGTTAAAAGTGGTTAAGTGGTGAAAAGTACTACTGTTTTTTTCTACCTTATTTACAAAAATACAAAGGACAACCCTCGTAGTATCACCAGAAAAATATGTTAAAAAAATATTAAAAGGAGTTTTATTCATGATTATTTTCATTGGAACTTCTTAGAGAAAAAACTTAAATATGAGATAGTATGACACTATTTTTATAAAAATCTATTAAAACTACCAAACAATAAAATTTCGGCTGTTGACTGTTGTAACAGAAATTAAAAATAATCTAGTTTTTATATAGTGAGAGTGAATTTAATTTAATGTTATTTTGATTGTTTCTCTTACACGTGGTGCGAACTAGTTTTTTTTTTAGAAAATGGGTATTTCAGTTCAACGGCGAAACACAGTTACACTTTTACCTTTAGCTGACATAGGTTTCTTAACATTAATAAAATTTTTATGAAAATATTAGGTAACAATAATAAATTCATTTTTTTAAACTTTTACTTTATGAATATCTGATGTGTCTGTGAATATAGATATTTTTGTTTTCATTAATGATACTATATCATAAAAATTTCTAATGTATTTCGAATGTATAAACGATTAATTTTGATAATTATTGCTTTCGGGTCGAATGAAGCTTAGCGGATTCTTACCTGTCAGTTTCGCTGAGGTAGTTTGACTGATTCAGTGATACTGAACAAGTAATGAATACAGAATAAGTAATTTCTTATTCTGTGTAATGGACGTGAGAACAGATTTTCATTTAAAAAATAACAAAAAAAAATAAGCTATTGAGATGAACCAAAAAATAAGCTATCGAGAAAAGATGCACCTAGATGATAAAATTATTTTCAAATTCCTTGCTATTTTAACATATTCCACAGGGTGTTCCAAACTTTCACTAAAATTACAACATTAGTTTTTGACAGATGGGAACTTCCATTTTTAATTTAGAAAGAGACATTAAAAAGTCAAATAATATATTAAAACTTTAAAGCTGGGACTCTATTAGGCCACACGCCACGCAACGCCACGCTATTCCACGTAGGCATAATTTTATTTTGCACGACAGTTTGACGTCATATGTATCGTTGGTTGTCTAAAACCCACTAAAAAAGACAAAAACCAAAAAATTCACAACCAAAAAAGGCTAACCGAAGCAACCAAAACTCCTTCGTGCAATTTTGTGTTGATAGACAGTCAATTTTTATTCGCAAGAGCCTCGGCTACTATCAAATTTTTGCCACTAAACGTCAAACTGTGGTGCAAAATAAAATTATGCCCCACGTAGGCCCACGTGAGTTTACGTGTTGCGACGTGGGAAACAGTGTACATATGAGATTTGGGACAGACGACGCACGTGTGATAACGTGGGGTGGCGCGTTGCCTAGTATGTGCGCAATGCATGTAATTAAATGGAAAAACATACGCACAGATCTTCATGACTTGGGGTGGCATGGCGTGGCGTGTTGGCTAATAGGATCCAGGCATAAGATGCCCGCTTTTCGTGCCGGTGAGTGTAGATCCAAAGAGGTATAAAAAGAAAAGGTAAAACTGTATAATTTTAAATTTAGCGACAAAAACACAGTCTCAATAAATAATTTAGAACTAAATTGACGAATATTTTATAAAGTTATCTTGCCATTGCCGATACAGCAAATATATCGGTGAAATTTGTGGAACGCGGCAATAGTTGCTGGAAGTAAAATAGCTATAGTGTGCCAAACTTTCGCCGAAGTTCACGTCGACAGTCTGTTAAGCATGTCGGTTCGGCCATTAAAACTTCAGCCAACTTCGGCTAAAATATGAGGGCTAAATAGTTGGCTGCCGCGGGATGCGCCAAATACAATTAGGCAAACATATTCAAAAAATGTTGGCTGGATTTCTTCTGACCTAACTTAATACCTATAACTTACAAACCACTGTTATTATTATGTTTAAAATTAATTAAAGAAGTCTCATATTACAGGTAATTAGATGCATATGAGAGCGTCAAAATTAATCAATGTAAAGATAGTTTGAACAGAGACAATGGTCCAATTCCTTCCAGTTCTCTGTTCCTATTGCTCTAGTTTCGGTAATAATTAATTGTTACGTTCGCTTGGTTTTCACTCGTTTGGCTAGTTTTTTCACGCCTACTCGATGCCATCTGAGCGTCTATATAAACGCTCACTTTGTAGATATAATGCCGGCTCCAGACCAAGCAGACAAAACAACGACAAGACAGAAATATTCATGTTTTACGACAAAATTGCGACAAATCCAATACCTTTTTGTCTCATTTTTGTTTTGTTTCAAAATTCGGAGACTTTTCAATGATCTCGAGTCGGTGTCTCAAGATCAAAGTGTCTCTTAATAAAACTCATTCGCAACAACTAAACTTTTGCCTTTGTTGTACTTTTGTCCTTGCGGTGTGGACAAATTGTCTCAAGTTTGTCTTGTCAGAATTCCCCATTTTTTTGTCGCAAGTTTGTCTTGTTTTTGTCTCAAAATCTTGTTTACTTTTTGTCGCCTTGGCTGGACCCGGCATTAGTTTAGTTTTAGTCATCTGCTGATGATGTTAACATGGTTACCGAAACGCGTGTCCAGTGTCAAAAAAAGTGTTTTGGTGAATTAATGTAAAATTAAATAAAAGTTATAACTCTTTAATCACAATTTAATTTATTATTTAAATTGAACTTATTTAATATTTAGCTGGCAAAATTTCGATTTTATTTGCATAATAAATTTTATTATATTTTAGTTCAATTAGTACCTAAAACGATCGAAAATCGCAGTTCAATTAATTTAATTAATATAATGACGAGATTAAACAACTAATTATAAAACGCATTCATTTCTCGATTATAGAACCAATCAAAACGGGCGATCGCAATAAAATCAATCATAAAAGTAAATAAAACGCGGAGATTTATGTACCGATAAATTATTTATAATTAATGAATTAAAATCGCTAAATGTTTAATTAAAATAATCCATTTTTTGTATTTGTACATTCAAAGCAATCACGTTCGTAAAAAATAAAATTAAAAAAAACAGAGAATCACGCAAAAAAAGTTTGAAATCAAAGAAATCAAAATTAATTTTTACAGTTTCGTGTTGACGTGATAGTCATCTTATTTCTAAGTTTTCTCAGGACCGTCTGCATTAAAACAGACATTAAATGCCCGGGCAAACTTGTCAAATCGATAGTTTTCTGCGGCTTATCAATATTGTCCAAATGCTTCCGGTCACAAACAACAATGTCCAACCTAGATTCTGGATTGTATGGGATGGGGAAGTTAACCACTGCGACCTTATAGATCTATTATGTCAACCTTTCTTGAGTTATAACTCATTATACAGGCTCAGAGCTCTTACAAAAGCCGGTATCTGAGCCGGTTTTACAGAGTTGAGTTCTCCATCACCGATATCAGTCATACCAGAGTGTTCTAGGGTTTCCCCATTTTTCCCACAGATAACTTCAATCTACTGAAGTGTTTATTGAAAAGACAGTGTCCTGTTAAAAGCCCCTTGACAGTTCGAAGATTGTTTTTACTTAAATCAAGGAAAATCTTTAATTTTTCTCGGTTGTAAATCCCGAAGGTCAATATAGTAACGAGCACTTTAAGTATCACTGATCTATAGTAACAGAACATTCATTTTTCATTACATCCAGATACTTCATTATCTAAAATAACCACACAATTCAGTTTAAATTAAATGACCTTTCTAGATCGGATATCAAGCGTCGAAGAAAGCGTCTTCGACCATGACAGTGAACCTCGTTAAAACGAAAACCACACCAGCGCAGCATTGGCAGCCGTCTGTGTTGAATGGTGTTGAAAACGGTATTTTGCATCATCACGCTTCTTGCAAGGTCTCAAAAGCGGTCTTGTTTTGTTATGTTTGTGCAAAACAACCATATTGTTATGGTTCGGAAATACTGCTTTTCTTATTTTTGCAAAAAATTAAGAATAAACAATGGAGTTTTTGAAGGAAATTAAAATTAGGTAACGGGCCTATGCGAAACTAGTTAACGCAAAGATTATGTTTGGTTTGATTTGGTTTTTATTTGAAATCTGTGTGTATTCAAGCAGTAACAATAACAATAGTTTTTTTTAAAGCGTAGATAAAATAGTATTACACATTTTTACCGCAGTATACAGGTTGAGTCTTAAATCAGCGTAAATACTTTCAGTGCTGGTAAATGTCGAAGAAAGGAATATATTTCTTTTGCATTTTCTCAAATAAGTCCAAAATTACTAATACGTAAAATACTAATAAAACAAATTTGCTTAACCGACAAATAATGCCTAACGTTTATCTCCTCTCCAAGCAATAAAAGTGTTCTTGAATAGCTATAATAGCTGCGGAAACATTCCAGGATTTTGATGTCATATTATTGAAGGACTCCAGTGATGGACCAACAGGGGGGAGGTTTAGGAGGCTTATTGCCCCCCCCCCTTAAGTTCAGTCAAGTAATACAATTTTATTAATTTATTTTGTCACCTCTGGAGTATGTACTTTGAGTAAAGATCCTTGGATCCGCCCATGAATGACTTTGTTTCAAGTCATTTTCGTTCAACATATTTTTCAATGTTAATTTTAAAGAGATAATTAATTGTTTTCACTAAATTTGATAATATAATGAAATATAAGAGATATAGAGAGAGGTAGGTAGCACTTTTGGGCAGAAGTGCAGATCTCCAATATTTTTTAAAACCTTTATTGTGCAAAGGTGTCTCAACAGTGGTTTTGGTTATATTTATGCATAAAATATATTGTTACATTTAGGAAATACCGATTTCTATTGTAGTAGAAAAATAATCGAATAAATACTGGGAAAACAATAGTCCTTAAAGAAAATTAATATTGGGTAATGCAGAAATGTACGAATATGTGTGAAAATCTAGTTAACGCATAAAAATGCGGTTAGTTTTTTCTTATTCTTTGAAATCTGAATCTAATTAAATCATAAATATTGTTTTTTTTTGTTCCCACACAAAAAAATATAATATTAATATCAATCATAATAAATTATACATTGGAATTATTATTAGAGCGTTCTGAATTGCAAAAAAGACTTTGATCAATATATTTCGTAATATTTGGGTTGTTTAGGAAAGAACACTTAATGTTCAAAGGGAGACACTTAGTTAATGTTCAAAACAAATGCATACGTATATATTTTTTGATTGCTCTTTTAATGCAATGCTACTTTGTCAACAAATGTAAACAGATTTTACAGCATATAGCTCTACTTGGAACCACAATCAAAAGTCATACAATCAAAAGTGTAATTATTTCCAGTGAAACAGGAAGTGACGAAAAACAATTGAATACGTTAATCAATCCTAATTTATGTCACATACTAACCAAATCTCGTTTTTTTTATCTGAAAAAATAAAAAAGTTGTAGTGGTGCGCCACTTTTGAGACGCATCCGGTATAGCATTTTTTTTAATATATATTTTTTCTTCAGGACACTATGGAGTTAAAAACTATCGCTTTCTTCATTTGGCCTTCTATCCTACTCTGCATCCTAGACGAAGTACTTCCAATTCTCATTCCTCAACAACCGCACAACTTTCCTGCATTAGAACATCTCCATCACACCAATGAAAACGCAGTGACCAAAGCAATATTTACACAAAAAGGATATATTCAGGTATAGTTACTTTATAAGAATTATTGTCAAGGCTTACTAAATTATTTTGAAGTAGATACCTATGTCATTATTCAAAAAAAAATCGATAGTTTGCATATCGATTATGGACATATTTTAAAAAAATATCCATATGTCAATGTATTTATTTTACAAATACAATCTAATAGATTGCTTCAAAAGTTTGTAACGAAGAGAAAAATGTTATGAAAAGATATACACTAAGACAGCACATAAAGTTTAATATATTTTTTTCCAGAGGAGCGATTTTGATGATATTTTAAGCAATTTGTAGCTAAATTAGTTGGCTTTTTAGTCTCTTTTCAGATTAAAAATTAAAGTGCCCATCTGTCTATTATACGAGGAAAAACAAAATGTTGTTATTTTGGTTAAAGTAAGGAGCTTAAGTATAGTAAAAATAGGTTTTTTTTGTTCCCATCAATAGCTTTATTTTTATTGGATATATTCGTTTTTGACAGTAACGATTTGCTGTAATTTTAGCATCAAAACCATGCCTTTGGTTTTGGCCCTAATCGACACCTATGAAAGAGTGTTTATTGTTTTTGTAATGTCACTGTCATTGAAAAGTCATACCCACGAACTATAGGCCTACTAGAACAAAGTCTATTAAACTTTAAAATACGCCTTAAAATCTTAAAGTGTCTGTTTTTCTTATTGGTCGATGTATTTAACGAAACATATAGGTTTTAATAATTAAATATGTGTTGTCTTTATTGATATTTGATTATATAGACACTATAAAAATTATACACAAGAATTACAATTTACGAAAACTTCATGTAATAAAATAAAATAATTAAACAAAACAAACTAAACATGGTGAAGTACTTTTTAACCTAAATATTAATATTAATATTCAATGTAAATTCTCATGTGAATATTCTGATTTACATCAAATCTCGAAATAGAAACTGTTATTAATATTTAACAAATTAACTTAACAAGTTTATTGAAGCACATGATAGTATTAGTGAATATTTATATAATATTAATAATATATTCAACACTTTTTGCGTTAATAAAATAGGAACTCAACAATTTCACCCATTTTGTGCATTTATGTGTGTGTGATTATCTCCAGTTATAGGAAGAATGTTAAACTGATAGATATTAAAGTGTGATATAAGTGTAACACTTAATCAAGTATGCATATATTAATCAAATTAATTCTGTATTTTTTCTTTGTTTCAGTTCTTGAAGTACGTTGTAGATGTACCAGATATAACCGATTATACTTTTTGTATATGGTTGAAAAGTGTCAATTTTACTTATAGTCATCCTATTTTATCGTATTCAAGTAAGTAAATCCTAATTTTATTTGTTGATTAGATAGGTATAAACGGTGTTCCGTACTCTTGGGTCGAGATTTCCGTATATAAGAAGACTACAATGCGTTTATAACGTACTGACCAGAGAACAATAAAAACGTTGCCAAACGTATGAAATAAACCGAGAAACTGTGCATATTGCTAAGAGACCTGGAAATGGATATAACAGATTTCGTCGCATGACGTACCTATGATCAGTACTTGAAATTCTAGGAAAATATGTACATCTTGCGTTCAGCTTCACGATTTAATTACGTTTATTTAATTACGAAACTTTATTTGTTTATTTATTAACGAATCTTGTTTTTTTTTTAATCTTGATACTTTATTTGTTTATTTATTAACAAAGCAAGTGTTTCTAACTTGCAAAACTAACTTTATTAAAAACAAGTGGAATTGAGCTAGTGTTTGACAGTGGTCGCGCTATTTGAACTCTGATTTCAATGGAGAAGTACATACGAGAACATTCGAAACCTTCTCTATGGCTCAAAAAAGTGTGAGTGGACCTGGATGATTTTTTTAAATGGAACACCCTGTATATTATTGCATTTTTGGCTTCCTTTCAGATCACTTTACATAACCCTAAGATACGAATAAATATATTTAAAAATGCCAATTATATATTATTTTTATAGTTATTCTACGCTTTCTTAACTAGAAAAACTAAACACATCCTTTGGAATTTGCAAAACTCGTTTTAATGACCAATTTAAAGAAAAATTAATAGAATGAGATTAGGTACAAGTTCTGATTTTATCTTTATTGCTAGTTTGCTCAACCGTGCCTACGAATGAAAGGAAAAGGTGTTGATATCGTTACGAAATGTGACAGCTCTAATTTACCATAAGGAAGTACCTTATGTTTGCAGAACTATGTTATTAGGAGTTTTCAGGTGTTATTTGAAATTAAAAAGAACCCGAAGGTCTTTAGAAATGCCGTTGCTAATTAACAGAGGAAACATAATATTTTGATTGGCAGAAATGAATACCGAGTGGTCAGAACTGACAATTTGAAAAGTAGCAATCGGAAATATGTCTTAGTCTAAAAATACAGATACAGGATAAGCAAATATTTTCAAGGCTTATTAGATCTCGATAAAAAAACTCATTTCTCATAAAAAAAACTTAAACTTACTTCTTTACCGTTTTTCAAGTAGGTCCAATTGTAGATCGTAGATTGTATGAGATGAGGGAAATCGGTTAAAAGGTCACCGCGACCTTGTAGATATATTGTGTTACCATTTCTTCAGATCATACAGTGTTAGAGTTTTGACAAAAGCCAGTATCTAAGACGGTTTTACAGAGGTTAGTTCTCCATCTCCGATATCATACGTACCAAAGTTTATGGCACGACGGTTGTTTTGTCTTGGCGCACTCAGTGTTGCACTCATATTTGCTAGCTAGCAATCTACTGAGGTCTTCATTGAGTTTGATTGTCTTGATTGATTTTAACACTGTTAAAATCTGAACTTAAGTTAAAACCCCGTGACAATTCGAAGATTGTTCTTAATCAAGGAAATCTTCGTTTTTTTTTCTCGGTGGGAAGACCTGACAAATTTCTTCAAGTGTCCTAGACCGTGGGGGGATTTCCATTCCAGCAGGTTAAGGATAGAGTCTTCTAGGTTCTTCAATTCTGCTTTAAGTAGTCCCAGACTTCAAAGAAACGTGATAGAAAAAACGTCCTCTTTCTATACCACTTAAAGAATATAAATAACAATAAAAAATTATCATTCTTAAGTAAAAAGGTTATTAATAAATACAAATTTTTTATTTCTTAATCGAAATAAAAAAAAATCGATCTTAATTTGGTAAAGTTCCCTATTTTCTCTTATTAATATTGAATAAAACTACATCATGTGACGCTGGTAGATTAAATAAGAGAAATGTAATAAATAACATGAAAACAGCGCCAATTACTGGCATTCAACCTGTCAATTATTAATTAAATCGAATAAAACACACATGAAATATTAATAACTCTTAATTAAATTAATGAAAAATTAACTACTCGTATTTCGCTACCGAAACGTTTCCGGATATATAGAAATGGCTTATAGAAAATGTTTAGATTAAGTATATTTGAACAAAAAATGTAACCCTTAAAATTTCAGTTCAACAGTTTTAAAAAATCAGCTGTGTGACTATTAATTTCTTGGAAACGTCTGAACATTTAAACACTGAAACTAAAAATAGTTATTAATTTCGGGAGACGATAATTAAAATTAGAGTTACGTTTTAAAAAATATTCAGAAATTATTATTTCAAGGAATTACGAGTAGAAAAAATATTGTGCTGGGTTGGCGTTGGTTTCTATGTAATTCGACAAATAAATAAAGCTGTCTCTTCAGTTGTCAGTTTTGTGTCAATATTTTTTAATTCTCTTTCGTGTCGATTGCTGATTGAATTGGAGCCAGAAATGGCTCAAAACGAAATAAGTAAATTACCAACAGATATTCAGGCTGAGGCGACAAACGCCATATCCAAACTACTTCCATTTAATTCCCGAATAATTTATGAAAAGGAGTACAAACATTTTCAAAAATGGAAGCAATTAAAAAACGTGCGAGAAGAAATAAAGTTTTTAACCTATACTCGCTGTTAAAGTATCATTTAATCTACCTTTGCGGTTAAAGTACTATTTTATCTACTAGTTTTGATAGATATAAGGCAAGTTTAACAGTTGCTATGGAAAAAAATGGTGGCCGGCCGTAGCTCCAGCGTTAGTCTGTCGATCTGCGGAGCTGAAGGTACTGGGTTCGATCCCCAGCCAGTACGGTCGCTTTATTTATTTAAATAAAAATATTGATTTATCTAAATAGAGCGACCAACGAGCCGCCACCTCAAGGAAGGCAATGGCAAACCACCTTGAGTATATTTGCCTTGTACAGCCTCTCAAATAGTGCCGTTCGGATTCGGCAATAAACTGTAGGTCCCATGTACTTGTGAAACACTGATGACACACATCACAAGTACATGCGAGAGGTAGCCGACGCTCTATAATAGAGTATGGCACTATAAGAAGAAGATGGAAAAAAGTTAAAAATCTACTATCTTAACAATTTTCTCAATATTATGTCCTTATTTTTAGAACACGAAGAAAAACGGCTGATACGGGTCTGGGTGTCACCTCACGGTACTCATATAAACTTGGAAATTTTGGAAGAACCTGTATTTAGCATTCCTGTAAATTTCATCGAACATGAATGGTACCATATTTGTCAGTCGTGGTCTTCGAATAAGGCCTCTTGGAGTCTTTACTTAAATGGGAATATTGCTGCTAACGGCTACACACCTCAAGTAAGTTACTAATAAATAATAAAGTAAGTTTTTATTTTTGGAAATTTATAAAAAATATTAGACTGGATATAATTTAAATTATTCCAAATAATATTTATTAAGACTTGATGATATTGACTTCTGTCAAATCAAATTAAGGATATCAGATAAATATAATATCTATTCAAAAAAATCCTATGGGTATTTCGCAGTGTAAGAAAATCTGCAAAATAAAATTTTCCTAAAAATATAAAAAAAATTGAGTAAATTTTCCTTGTGTAAATTTTCCTAAAATATAATGTTTTTAAGTATTTTGTTTTTTGATTCATGCCAATACATGCTTTGATTAATTTTTAAGAACGAAATGAACTGACCACGATCAATTTGCAATTTTTTCAATTATCATTACTTTTTGATGTGATTTTTTAATATAACGAGATATGTTTGATGACTATTGTCATAACGTCATATTACGCTGAATTGCTACTCTATACTAAATTTAGGTAATATTAATAACGATAACAGAACTAATGATATTAAAGAAAACATTTGTAATACTCAAGTATACAAACAGAAAAAAAATGTAAACAATACCCTAATACTTCGCATTGCCTCCTTTGCCTTGGCTGCTATAACTGCCTTATATAGGTTTGACGTATATCGTCCGTTTATACTGTCACTGAGGCTGCATATATCATATAGAGTCATGTTTTCCAATTCTTCTTTAAGGGCCAAGCGAAGTTCATTTAATGAAGCTGGTACCGCTTTGCGACCTCTTACCCTCCTGCCAAGTATTTCCCAAACGTCAAACATAATAGGCCAGTTCATAGTAGTATATAGTTCACAATAATCACCAAAGCCGCCTTGTCATATTGAAAAATAACTTCAAAAAGAAAAAATTGGCGCCGGGAGGCACGTATAGCCGCTCATACTTGATATTTTTTTATCTCAAAAACTGCGACTTTGAAAACCGCGTTTCGCTAGCTACTGTAATTTTGGAGCTACGATTTTTTAAAATGTTTAACCCCCTCCCATCCCTCTTACCAACCCCCCACCCCCACCAAAAACGAATGGCCAGATTCCTGGGTGCCACAGTATTTTTGTGCCAAATTTTGTTAAAATCGGTTTAGCGGTTTTTGAGTTATCGTGTACGAACAGACAGACAGACACCATGAAAATATTTTGCATTTAGGTCATTTATGATCCAAATAACTCATTTTGAGTGAAATTAAAAAATCTTTTTTTGTCGATCTTAATATCCTACCATACCTGTTGGTATGATCGGCTAATAATAATTGAAAAAATTGCAAATTGTTGGTGGCAAGTTCATTTCGCTCTTAAAAATTAACCAAGGCATGTATTGACATGATTCAATAAAACAAAATGCTCTTATTAACTTATTTTTTGTAAACGCTGATGCATTAAACCAACGGAGACCAACAGCAGTGATTTACTAATAAACAAATTTACCTAACTGACAAAAAATTGCTTAACGTTTCGGGAAGTATATCTCTTCCCGTCGTCAGAAGGCAAAAAAACAAAGAACAAAGAAAAAAAAAACTATCTAATATCTAAATAAAACTATTCAAGAACTCTTGAACAATTACTACCTGATAATAATTATCACTTAATGAGGTAAAACCAAAAACCTTCAAACTTTCTGTATATAATTTATTTTATTTAAAACAATTATTATTCCCTTTCATTTTCAGCTAAGGAATATCATCATAGAACATGGAGGTGACATCGTAGTGGGTCAAGAATACACAGACTTCGATAAAGGTCTAGATGACGGCATTGAAGGTTTTGTATCTGGCTTCAACTTTGTATTAGCATCAACCGTCGACAACTATCAACCAACAACCCATTTCCAACAACTACCTCCACCCAAATTCATCTACAAACGGCAAATTCCGCAACAAAATCAAGATGTAGAAGATTCTACAGAAGATTTGAAGATGATTAGTGTTCTTCCCAAGAAGAAACGCCAAATATGGGATGACGGTTTGCAGTTCTACTATGAACATCAGTTAAGAGAACCTTTACCATTGGATAAAGGTGAAAGACCATCGTACCATACGCCTACAGAGAGACCTTTGGTGTATCCATCTTTATATTACTACACTCCGAAGCCTTTGGGTCTGGTTTTGGTGGAGCTTAGTAGCGATTGTGCTTATCTGAGAGGTGCTCCATTGCGTGGTGACAAAGTGCTGATAAACTGGACTAAAACTGTTGTCAGAGTGTTCGGTGGTGCTATAATAAAAAACGCTCCATCTTTTTGTGCCAAGTGAAGAAAAAAAAATGTTACTGTTGGAATCCTTGGTATTAAAATAAGAATTCTACTTCATTTAACCACAGAACATAAAACATATGTTTTATAATTTTTGTTATTAGCATTATGATTAATAATGAAGTCTTTCAAAGTCCTGTTCGGATTATTTGCTGATGATCAATGTTATCATGCAACAGTGTCAAATAGTATTTGGATCTATTGTGGTTAAATTTTTTAAATTTTCTTTCTGTAGAATGAATATGTTTTAAGGACTAAGTGGTACTAAGCAATGGTGCTCTAACTTATTTTTTTACTCTATTACTTCTTTGTTAGTATAATAAATGTACCTGGTATTAGCTTGTATTAAATTACCCAATTATAATTACAGTTGAGGGTTGGAACCTTTGGTGTTACACAGCAAAATAAAAAACACTAAATCACCACAACACACCAAAACACTTTTACTTTTACACTGGACGCGCGTTTCGCTAACCAAGTTAGCATCATATTTGGGCTTTAATATATGCCAAACCAAACACCTTGTATATTTATATCAAAAGCCATGAATTAATTAGACATATGTTTAGTTATTTAATTAACCTAATATACTAGTCAAAACAATGTAATTCATCATCTATAAATTTAATAAAGTTATAAATACACCTAATTAAAAAAAAATATCGGATTAGAGACATTATTTTTATATTCATTATTGAACGAACTAAGTAATAGTTTTTTTTGAAACCTCACAAAAGCATCAATTTTTGCGACGTGATTGACAATGTAAAAAAGTCATTTTAACGCCTAGACATTAAAGTAAAGCACTTTTACGCCTACGCACAAAAGTACGAAAATATATTATTAAACTGACATAAGTGTTATTCAACGAGCGTAACCTTAGTTTCTCGATATATAATTACTTACAAGTATTATTACTTTAAATCTTTTTATATTATTTGGAACGTTTGAAATTGTTTAAAATTATTTGTGGCGTTTGACCAGAAACCAATTTTCATCCAAATATTGGCATTAGTTCAAAAATTATTTAGGAAAAATAGAAATAAAAATGAAATTTCTACAGCCTGTATCTCCAAAACGAAGCTTTTTAAGAGACACATTTATACGAACTTTTTTACTTATTTTTATCTGCAGAATATACTGCTGAAGTTTCCCGAACATAATTCAGACCACCTTGTATAGCAATTTCTTTTCACGTCAATGATAATAAACCAATTAATGATAAAATTAACTATTTTAAGTCAATATTTGACCAGTAATCCTTCATTTTCTGTATCACAACTAGGACAAAATTAGATAGAAAAGATGATTCAACAATAATCGCTGCTCAGTGGCAGATGGTTCTAAATGACACAAGGGCTCGTGCACAATTTATATGTAAATTTATATGGGAAATGTCATCGACCGTCATTTCCCAGCCAACTGGACGCCGTTTTTTCGATCATACGGTATATTTAAAATATATTTAATAACCTTTTTCCATAGCAACTGTTAAAATTGCCTTATATCTATCAAAAATAGTAGATAAAATAGTACTTTAACCGCAAGGGCAGATTAAATTATACTTTAACGAGGATAGGTTAAAACTTTATTTCTTCTCGCACGTTTTTAATTGCTTCCATTTTTCAAAATTTTGTATTCCTTTTCATAAGTTATTCGGGATTTAAATGGAAGTAGTTTGAATATGGCGTTTGTCGCCCCATCCTGAATATCTGTTGGTAATTTACTTATTTCGTTTTGAGCCATTTCTGGCTCCAATTCAATCAGCAATCGACACGAAAGAGAATTAAAAAATATTGACTCAAAACTGAAATTTTTCTTAATTATCATAATAAATATTTTTATTTTTAAAACTTCCAAGAAAAAAGGAAAACAAACACAAACCGGCAACATCGTACCAAACCTGCCTATCCTGCCACCACCGCAGTGGGGAAGTCCGACTCTCCTGCGACGGGAGACGTCAGACCGGGTGACGTCACGCCCGTGGAGCGTTGCCACAACAGATTCGATCATCGACAGACGCGCTAGTCGATGTCGGAGTTGGCCGCGAGGTGGCGGCAGCGCGAAACGCTTTTGCAGGCCAGGCCCACTTTGCGCTTGGCGTTTCAGATTTACCGTAGCACGTTTTTTGTTTGGCGCGTCATGTGTAGTAGCACAAAATCCATTGATTCGGGTGGCGTTCAGTTCGTATGGGGTGACATGGACGCCTGTCTGACCGCATTCGATAAAGACGGGTAGGTATGATACGTATTCAATACGTTTTTCGATATTTTATTACGTATTCACTGTTTGAAGCATTTTTAGCCGGTGCTTTATGTGGTTTTGTTTACTGTTTGCTAATTTAGTGTTTTTATTTTGGTTTTTAGGATTCGTTAGCTTGTTTTTGTTTACGTGAGACACGCTGCTTGATTTAAATAAGTACGCTTTCTTTATTTCAATGTTTTAATGGAATTTTAAGATAATATAACCTTGTTTAATGTTGGGAATCCCCTGGTAAACTTTAATCTGTTAATGTTGATAAGTATTTTTGTTTGTTTACATGCGAAATGTTGAAATATTTTGATTATCTGGGAGCGTTAAATAGGTATTTTATTTACTAGTTGTTTTTTAGGAAAATTTGAAAATAAGGCATGTAATTTTGTTTCTTCTTGTGATTCTCTTAATATTTGTTTAGAATTGTTCCATTTATCTATTATTTTGGTACAAAATTCATCTATACGCTTGAAATATGAGAATGGTTAGGTAACCAGTTGATTATGTAGTATTATCATTTATTTTTTCTCAGTTTGACATTTAAGTGACAATTTTCATAATCATTTGACATTTTGAAAGATGTTTCATGATTGATGATTATTTTTCACTATTCGTAATCTTATGGGAACATATCCACTGTACTGGCACTTTAACAAAGATACAATTTGAAGGAAGATTTTTTGTGTCCGTATCTTCTTTAAGTAGATATCTTGAATTTGGTCCAAAAATATGCCCACCATGAATTTCGTCTTCATTTCCACAAAATAGGCCCAGCAAAACCGTTTCGTTTGATGTATTAACATTCTTCTCGTTACACCAGGACTTGAAATTACTCTTTTTAAAAGAAAAGAAATTGTTTTAAAAAAATAAATATAAATAATATTTAATCAATCTTTTTAAGATCTCTAAGATAACTAGCCAGTAAGAATGCACTCTGACTTGGGCATCAGGACATGTGAACTTGTGAACATACGATCTCAAATATTGAGTTAACGAAAAAGATCTATAATGAGTCTACTTAAAAGAGCTACTGGACCACCACAGACTAAAGATAAAATTGATTTGGATACAAAAGCTAAGAATATTCTAAATTTGCATAGACGTGACCCAATGGACATAGGACTGGAGAATGTAACCTAGCGATCAGAAGAGGACCACAATAGATCAAATGAAATAGAGGAATCAAATGAAATATAACCTAATCTGTATATTTTTGAAAAGGTCTAGGTGGAATTGACACATTTTTTATTGCAAAAATAAATAATCAAACGAAATATATAGCTCTAAGTCGATGTTGGAAATATAAAAAGAAAAATATTTCAGATATACTACAATTTGCTTTAGAAATGATATTTTCGGAATATAGACGCCCAGAAATATGTACTACCTAGAGTAGTACTACCACTAGCTACCTATAGAAAATATTAATAGAGTACTCAGAATTACATCTAATAGACATGTTGTCTTTTTTTATCAATATATGTGAAAATAAATAAATATTAGAAAAATTTACATAGTAGTGAACTCAATACGAAAATATTCTATTACGCATTCCCATTTCAAGGTTATTTGATTTGTAATGCTAGGTCACGGTTAGAAATTCTTGATTATTTATAAACACGATTTATTTGTCTAGATGATTTAGAAATTATCGATGATTTTTGCAGTAGGAGGTTATTATTAATTACTTACTTATTAATATGTTCTAAAATTCTTATTGAGATTCACCTTTGAAAATCTAACTTTAATTAAAATTAATTAGCTGATCACACTTAATATGGTAGAAAAAAAAAGAAATTTAAAGTAAAAAACAATCCGTTTTCTAGAAATACTATGAAAAGTTACAACTGGAATACGTCGTCGTTCCTAAAATACATTTTTATTACCATTGACTAATATAAATATTTTTTCAAGTGATTATTCATGGAAATATAAATATATATCCTTAATCGGCCTTTATACTTATGCATTCTACCACTATTTCTGTATTTTTCGCAAATACAAATCTGTTATGATATCAGCGAAATTACAAACAACAGTGTTTGTTAAACACAAACAGCAAAACCATTCTGAAATTTAGGATTATGTATTTATGTATTGCATTCAAGGTAAGTGAAATCAATGTCAATGTTAAGGTAAACTGGCATAAACACAGGGTGAGACTTATACTAGTGCAAAACAAAAACATCTGCTTGTGAATTTTTAAAAATTTCCTTTAAAAAAAAACCTAAAAAATACCTATATCTTGATAATAATTGTAGACTTTCTTATTATGTTGGCTACATTTTTTTAATTTTCCAGTAAAAAATACTTTTTTTTCATAAATAAAAAACGCTTCTAAAGATTTGTTTACCACGTTGATCCTCCTGATCAAGTATTTTTAAAAGTTCGAACTTTAACGAAGTTTAAAAATTCTGAAAACTTGCATTTTATTCAGGACGCATCTGCCAAGCCGTCCAAATAAATTTCTGGATAGAAAAATCTTCCTCACAACTTGACAAATATCGAATTTGCGGTATCCAGTCTGGAACTATTTGTCTCCGGGGCAGGTTTTTAAAATTCATTAGCTAGTTTTCAATACAGAAGGGTTTCTTTTCATTTTGTCTATTTTCATTGGAAGCTGTAGTAACGAGCGTATAGAGAGAAAAAGTTAAATTAAGTTTATTTTTGTAGATGCAAAAATCTGGAAGATTGAATGTGAAAGGAAAGGAAAATAATAAGTTTCCTGGAAAACATAAATGCTAATTATAATGAATGAAAACAAGACAATTCTTTTTAATTGCATTTTTGAGCTAGTTTACCTTTATTTATTAATACCCTTACTTTTCTAAGTCTACTACGTCACAACCACACAATACCACCCTTCTATTTCGTCATTCAACCCTTGCTCTATAAGTAACTAGCACCGATCTTGCCACTTACCCTAAAATAGACCAGGTTGGGAGTTTTTCAACAATCCCTCCCTTGCTATAGTTCAGCACATCCCCTAAAATAAGCTTATAACCTGCCCCTTTGAAAACACGCTTAAATAGCATGAAAAATTAACAGGAATTGTTATATAGCGAACCAATTTCCTGTTTATAAGTGATGGCCTAGTAATGGCG